GCGGGTGGCCCCCCGCGCCGGGGCCCCCCCCCACCCCGGCGGCGCTCGGCAGAGCCGGGTCTGGGGGCGTCTTCTGGTTTCTTCTCCTCGCCCGGCGCGCGTCGTGGGGCGTGCGAGGGGGTGTCGGGAGGATGCGAGCCCCCGCCCGGCTTCCTGACCGCACTGCCTGCGGGGCTGCGAGTTTGCCGCTTCGCCCCCGGGAGGCTTCCCGGAGGGGGGGACGCGCCGGAGCGTGCAGCGACGGCAGCCGCGATAGTGGTCACCGCCCGGTAACCGCGAACCCCGCCGCCCGCACGCCGGTGGGAGCTTGCGTTTTCGGGTCCTCGCCGCCAGAAGCCTAGGCCCGCGCGGTCCGCAATCACGGATTTCAGTCGGGCGACGCGTGCAGACTCGTCCACACCTCGGAGGATGGCTGCGAAGTAACTGTCTCTCTCTCCAACCACACCCAGACCCACAGGAAGTAAGACGGTCGGTGTCATCTTTGATTAGGAAGGATAAGTTACACCCTGAACGACTCCTTCGTGGGACACCCACGGCCTTTCGGAGCTGTAGCCACAAACGAAACGAAAACTTTAAAAAAGAACATGCCCTTGTTGTCGGTGTCCTACACAATGGTATTCCTCCGAAGATGTTTTTATCTTGTGGTTAACGTTGTGAGTTACAGATTCAGGGATTTAAATTGTGCTTAGATCCAGCTGGAACTTTGAATGCAGTAAGGGCTGGCCAGTTCGTTCCTATGGATTTGCTACACACGCCTTGCGGAAAAAGTTCCCAGAGTGAGGTCTAGGTCAGTCTTGCCCAGTTTCTTTTTTTCTTTTTAACTGATTTGAACCCATCTTCCTTCTCTTATGAGAATCGGGTGAGATCAAGAATGATAATTGAGCCAGAAAGAAGAAACTGCAAATTTTCATAAAAGTACCGTTTCCTGCTACAGGTTTTTGCCTCTGAGGATAAGAGATAAGTGTGGTAGACGCAAATGAGCTTGGAGTATTCCTTTAACAAAGCTTTTAATAAAGCATTTCCTAATTCAGGATTACTGGGATTCAGGAATGTGGAGTTGTACATTCTAAAACTAGTTTCTTGTTTGTTTGTTTTTAAAGCATCTCGTATAGTAATGAGTCTTTTTTTTGGGGGGGGGTCAGTCGTCGGGCTTGAACTCTGGGCCTGGGAGCTGTCCCTCATCTCTTCAGCTCAATGCGTGCGTTCTACAGCTAGAGCCACAGTGCCACTTCCGGGTTTTTAGTGGTTTATTGGAGATAAGAGTCTCACAGACTTGCCTGCGGTGGCTGGCTTTGAACCGCGATCTTCAGATCTCAGCCTCCTGAGTAGCTAGGATTACAGGCATGAGCCACCAGCACCCAGCTAATGAGTCTTTTAGTAATGCATGTTTTATATATTTTCAGTTTCATCAGATGACCTTTTTAAAATAGACATTTTGTTCTGTTTGTGGGTGGTTTGTGGGTGGTTTTTAACCTAAACATTGCCACACACATGAAAGAATGTAATAAGTAAGCTTTCAGATATTAAATTTTAAAAATTACATGAGTTGAAATCATCTCTTCCGGGTGTGTGTGTATGTGGATAGATGGTCATTTAAGTGTACTTTTCACAAAAGGGATATTTTGTTCTTGGTTTTTAAAAAAGACTTTTAGTTGACAAAAAAAATTAACCATACTGGAATTAATTGCTTAATTTTGAAAGCATTTACTTGTACAGAATTTGACACGTTGAAAAAATATTTACTAATATCGATTTGATAATAATCTGAGCTAAGCCTACTTTGAGTCTCTCCGATTATGTAATTCACATTGAACTTGTTAAATATTCTTGCCTCTTTGAAGTAATCATCTTAAAAAATTGAGATAGGAGACATTTTAGTTATAATTTGAAGGAGAAAAAAAGTGCTTCACTTGTGTGGTTAGTTTGTAGTGGTGATATGTGAGAAATTGCTCATTGGCTATTAGCCAATCAGATTTCTTAGATACTACTGGTTGCAGAGATAAATTAAGCTCAATGTAGCTTCTTCACATTGCATTTTCACATTGTGGTCTGTAATCTTACTCACAGATGTATTTTTCAGTGCCTGTTCTGAGAGTGCACATGGTTTGCCCTCTGAATGTTCTGCCTGACAGTGGAGTGACTGAGATTCAAATGCTGCTGGTCTAGAGGAACAGAATTTTAGAGGAAATGGTGTAGTGGAATGCTGAACTTCTAGGAGGGAAAGTGTATGATGGTAATCTAACTAATGAACATGTTTTTTGAAAATGTACGTAGATGTAGGTATTGTTACAAAATAGGACTTTTACAAATCAACATACTTAAACTTTTGCACAATGTACAGGTGACATCAGGATTCTTAAGCAAAGTCAAACCTCTCTTAAAGCAAAGCACATTGGGCCAGTATGGTATTACTGCATTTTTTTTTACATGATAAAAGAATACCATGTACATACCAACAAGACGGGTGGAGACACAATGCTCCATTTGATTAGCATTCCTAGCATACAAAACTGAATTGAACTCGGGCAATTCTGCTGGTGGAAGTCGACTGGTAAATAGACTATTCCGAATAGGAAAAACATTTTTCCTCTTCATTTTAGTCTTTACCAAACATAAAAGGAATGCTGGCTATACTAAATAATGAGCTTCCATTTGAACATTCAATAACTAGACATGTTTTGTCTTCCTGGAATCCTCTTGACTCTCTCACAGCTTCCCTGACTGTCTAAAGGTCTCAGCTTAAATATCATTTCTTTTTTAAAGAGATTGCCCTTGAGAGCACAACTGAAAGTAAGTCCTCTTAGGTATATGCTCTGTGATACCATTTCTCACAGTTTGTAATTACCTCGTTATTTTATGCAAATGTCTGTTGAATGTGAGTTCCTGAAAGAGCAATACCATTTCTGTTTTGGTTACTGTTGTTTAAACTCCAGTGTCTTTTATACTAAGCGTTTGTTGGATGAAAATGCTGCTGGTAGAACTTCTAGCTAATGACTTTATTAAGGTAGGAAATGTGTTGTGGAGAGGACTGAGGGGGCAAAGAAGGTGTAGATCAGTTTGCTTTAGTACCATGATGTAACTTCACTTCATGCTAACCTCTGGGGCCTTTGTTTCATCGTGTCTGTTATAATTGGGTAGACTAGGCTCAAAATGCCTCTAATATCCTGTCTTTTGATTCTATTCAACAATAGTGCCAGATTATAAAAGCTTATTTAAAAAGGTATGTGACATAGGACATCACAAAAAATGTTTTTTATGTGTGGATCCTGGGGCTTGAACTCAGGCACCTGTCCCTGAGTTCTTTACTTCTGGCTATTTGGGGTTTAGTTGGAGATGAGGTTCTAATGGATTTTCCTACCTGGAGTTGGTTTTGAACTGTGATACTCACTTTTCAGCCTCCTAAGTAGCTAGGATTACAGGCATGAACTGCTGGTGTCCAGCTTCCAAGAGTATTTGAAGTGTTCCAAATAAATATATTAGAAATTCTTGCTAATTAGTTGATACTGTTATTGTTTAGAGACTCTCCTAAATGATAGAAACAACATATCTAATCTATGTGCATTTTATAAATTAATAGTTGTACAGATTAGCTTTCTAATTGAGGCAAAATGAAAAATATTGAAACAACAGAGCAAGGTTTGTGTAGAGATGTTAGATTTCTTTTGATATTTACTCTTAATATTTTTCCCTGTGTATTCTGTTGCATTATATAGAGTAAATCAAAGCTTCACTCCCCCCACCCCCCCAAAAAAAACCAACTAGAAGAGAGGAAACAGATGGGATGAACAAGCATACAATACTATGATGCCTTTTTATATATGTGCTCATGTTGAAGCAACAAAATCACTTTTATATAAAAGTGTATAGTTTCTTATGGATAGTTACTACTTTTGGTAAATTAGCCAAGTGTATTGACTGTTATTTGTTAAATATTAGTGAGTATAATGAAACAGAAATTTAGTGGGAAGATATTACTTAACCTGGTTACTGTGAAGATGGCTAAAACTTATTACAGTTTGAGCACTTACTATAAACCAAGTACTGTTGTCAATTCTTAATGCTAAGAGCTCAGACCTCACAAGTTGTGATGCAAATAAGAGGTGGTGTTTACATTTCGCTTCTGTTCTCTGCAGTAATACTGACAGTGAATAAAACCAGTCCTTAACACCTCAAATATTTGAAGACCACTTACACTATTTTGCTCCCTTAAGAAGATACTTATATATCACATGAATTTTGCCTGTATCTGGGTGCATGCTTTCCCCTCCCCAGTCAAAATCTGTAGCTCTAAAAATGCGGATCGTAGAAATAAGCACACTGGTAATATAGACTGCCTCACAGTGAGGCAAAGGGTTCTCCAAATCTGAAGGATTTAGGTTTGCACTAGTACTTTTAAGTTACCCATTGTATTAGTGGCCTACATTGAGTCTTGTATTTATTACCCAATCTCATATGAACGGCTTCCAAATCAACATTTTCTCATTTCTCTGTTGGGACATTTAGTTTTCTGAAACTAAAACCAAAGGTTTGCATTCGTTCTTCTTAAATTTTATTTTAATTTTGGTTTATTTTTCTGGTTTGTTCAACCTGAAAATTTAGTAAGCATATCATCTGTGTCCTTATATATAATGGAAAACATTATAGAGTTAAGGACAGTTCTAAGGAAGTCCTCTTAAGATATGTGTCATAGCCAGGTACAGTGACTCATGCATGTACTCCCAGTTCCTTTGGAAGTAGATATGGGAGAACATAGGTGCAGGGCAAGTCTGAGCAAAAAGTTAGACCACCTTCTCAATAAATAATCCAGACTTGATGGGACACATATGTGATCCCAGCTACATGGGAAACTATAGGTGGTAGAATCACAGTCTAAGGCCAGGCAAAAACTCAACACGCTAGTAGAAAAATCAGTAGAGCTACAGATGACTGGGTAGGATAGTTCAAGTGTAGAATGCCTGCCTAGCAAGTGCTGAGTTCAAACCCCATTACTGTTCCCACTCCCCCCCACCAAAAAAAAAAGACTTAAGATGACATATAGCAGTAAATTTACTGGATAATACTGACACTCATCCCATATTTGTTCATGTTTACAAAACTGCTGATAGGAAACCTTTTGAATACTATTGTTTTCAGAATATACATTTTCCACCTTAACTCTGAACTTCTGATTGTCTCAACTATGAAGCGGGTTATTATGAGGATTGAGGAACTATATCTGTGTTTATATATTTCCAAGTTGTAAATGTGTTAGAATTGACTTGTTTCATTTGAATTTAGGTTAACCTCTAGTGATTACTGTTCTTATTTGTGTATCATTTCCAGATTTGGCTAAGGTTTTTGAGTTTATATATGCTGTTTCTGAAGTTTGCTTATCTGCTTCTCTAGCCCAGTAGCCGAAGCAACTCTACCCATATCATTTCATGGTCACTTTTCTCATTTGAACTTTCAAGATTAGTGGAGTCATCTTTGTAATAATACTGGGTCATCACTTTAGCTGTATAGAATGGACTGTGTCTGGGTCCAGGGATTTGAGTTCACAGAAAAAAAAATCCCAGCACTTGAGAACCTGGGGTAAGAGGATGATGAGTTTAAGGCCACCCAGGGCTACAAAAATAAAAAAATCAAGTTGTAGTTGCTGCATGAAGCTTAGGTTTCAGTTCTCAATACTTTTTACAGCTTTAGTTTAAAAGCTTGAGAGAAGGTAAGATAAAAATTGAGCAATTCTGTCTATGTAACCTCTCAACCTTAGCAACATCCTCTGTGTAGGGTTCTCAGTTCCTGTTCTCTTTGTGAATAGTATGTTATTGTAGAGACAGCCTGAGGAAGAAAGCATGAAACTTAGGTTCTAATTTCCATTCCACCTCTTTGTAGCTGTGTGATACTAGTCAAGTTACTTTGTCACCTTGTGCTTTAGTTTTCTCATCTGCAAAAAATGCAGAAATGATGTTTTCCTGTCAGCTTGCAAAGAGGATTTGTGAGACACTTTGTGTAAAACATTTATAAACTATCAAGTACTGTACAGTGCTTGAATTTATTTGAACATAGCTATACCTGATTTTTTTTTATTTCAGTAGTTTTTTCTGATGTTTCTCATTTGTGTTGTATTACTGTATCTGTATATTTTTGCTCTTCTGTCATCTTCATTCTAATTTGTCTTTATTAACTACTCTGGACCATACTGGATACATCACTGTTTCATCATTAGAATTGCTTATTGGATCTATATAGAATTCAGAAGAATCCACCTTTTGTGAGTCACTTAGCCTTATGAGCCATACTTTCTAAAGCTGTTTTTTCTAAAAACTGGTAGATATTTAACCGTACATAGTGTTCTCTTACCTACTGCTAAAAATATTTTAAGGATGATGCTGAACACAGAGTCTCACACCTATAATCCCCACTACCTCAAGAAATGGAGATTGGGAGGAACATGGTTCAAGGCCAAGTCTGGCAAAAACACTAATGTGACCCCATTTCAACTCATAAAGCTGAGTAAGGTGGTGTTCAATTGTAATCTCAGCTATGAGGAGGCATTAAGTAGGATGATTATGTCTGGGCTGGCCCAGATAAGAGTGGGAGACCTTGTTTATAAATAATTAAAACAAAATTGAGTTAGGCACAGTTCAGGTGGTAGCGTGCCTACCTAGCAAGTGTTTAGGCACTGTGTTCTAACCTCAGTACTGCTGCCCCCAAAACCCACAAGCTTGTAATGAGATCTTATGTCCTTGTTGTATATGTCACTACTCGCACTTTTTGGCCATATTACCATGCACTGTGTCCCCTGTCCTACTTCCTTACCCTTCTGAAAGTTATATGTCTCTTTAACAACGTCACTTTTGCTTTGCTTTTTTTTTTTGTCCCTTCTATTTCCCTCTATTTTTTTGTTCTAACTCTGTTTTATAATTGTAGAGTAAAAGCGTTTGATCTAAAGTAAGTATTTGACTTAAAATACAATAAATTATGCACCTGTAGTCGCTGAGGCAGTAGGATTACTTGAGCCCAAGAGACTAGCCTGAGAAACTTAATCAAGACCCTGTCTCAAAAGAATAGAAAAAAAGAAATTTCAAAAATACTTTTTCTTCAGGTTTCAGACATCCATGAGGAGAGGCAAGATTATTTCTTCAAGCAGAAGGCCCTTTCAAATTATACCTGTAGTCAAAACCTAATTGCAATTACTCGATTGAAAATGGCTCCTATTAGGATGTATGCCTTAATTATAAACATATTACCAAAACTTACCACTTTAAAAATATTACAGGATTCTTAATTTTAACTAATGTTGAGGATAAAATATTAAAATCTGTTTTAAAATTACTTCTAGGCTGTCAACATTTCAGAAAGCAACTTTTCTCAGTGGACCCATTCATCAAATGAAATATGCTTGTACTGTTTTTAAAAGCTTGTTACTTCATCGTAGACAAGTTCACCTGCCAAAATGAAGGTGAGGACATTTGAGAGAGTTATTTAAGACGTAGCTTTTTTAGAAGGTGTCCCATCAAATCATTGAACTGAAGGGTAAGCATTGAATAGATTAATCCAGAACACTATTTTTTAACAAGGAGAATTTCATCTTGACAGAAAACGTTTATTCAATATGTCCTTTCTGAAAAAAGTGAGAGAACAGACTTAAAAGAAGGCAAGAGATGTTGAGTAAATAAGCAATGTTTACACTGTTCTTACGAAGACGACTCAGTGATGTAAAATCTTTCACAAGTCTCTGGTTGTGATTCTAAAGACAAGATTCTTGATGGGACTGATGAAAAAAAATAGGACCTTTTGTGTGTTGGACCCACAGCAATAGAATTTGTAATCATCGGTATGAGTGGCTTAGAAGGAAAACAGAAGCTTTCATCTAAATCCAGAAGTGCATACACTTTTTTTTTTACTGCTGTTATTTTGAAAATCTCTTCATAACCACTTAAAAAGAATTGACAGCTACTTTTGATGAGTAAAGAAAGGCAGATGTCTGCAAATAATTCCCCTCCATCAGCCCAGAAGTCTGCATTACCTGCAACTGTTTCTGCTGTGCTGCCAACTCCTTCTCCGTGTTCAAGTCCTAAGACAGGACTCTCAGCCCGATTGTCTAATGGAAGCTTCAGTGCACCGTCGCTCACCAACTCCAGAGGCTCAGTGCATACAGTTTCATTTCTACTGCAGATTGGCCTCACACGGGAGAATGTTACCATCGAAGCCCAGGAACTGTCTTTATCTTCTGTCAAGGATCTCGTGTGCTCCATTGTTTATCAAAAGGTACTGTGCAAGCTATTTATGTCTTTTTAAAAATGAATATTGTTTCTAATGCTAGTCTATAAATTCTACATGTAACAGCTAGTTCACATATAAAGACGCATTGGTAATTTATGTCCTGATTATTATTTTTAGAAATGTTCTAATAGACTGAGGTGCAAATCTCAAGTTTCATATGAAATCCTATATCCCAGATTTAAAATATCACTTAGCCATGCTTTAAAATTCTGCTGTTCGGTTTCTTAAAAACAGGAAAATATATAAAATCAAGAGAACATAAGAAATCTCTTTGTTTTCAGAGAAAAGAGTAAGGAAAGAGAGGTCACAAGATTTTGAGGTGGCTTTCCAAAAAAAGGTATGCCACAGCAGTTGCCAAGTTTCAGGTATAAACCTTCTACTTTCTAAGTGCCCTGTATTTTGTCCTTTCTTTTGTCTTCTTTCTCTTCCCTTTTGATCCTGATTATCATTTCTAGAAGATGTTCAGAATCTAGCTGAAGTATAAATCAACTATGGTATCACCTCTAAAATAGGTAAATCAATTTCAAATATATGATAGAATATTTGAAACTTAGGAGTAGTTTTGTTTCTTACTTATTTATCTCATTACCAATGCCATATCATTCTTAAAGAAACTAGCTGTATGTCTTTAATCTTGATTTGGTGTTGAGCTAGTATGATCAACTTTTCAAATGGATTATATGTATTTGTTAGATTGTTTTTCATGAACCAGGCATATGTTTCAGATTTTATTCAAAATGTGGCCTAAAGTAACAATCACTTTTGCAGGTCTGTAGAACCATCTGCCTTTGTTTTTTTTTTTTCTTTTCCTTTTGTTATTTTTTTGAGATGGGCCTTGCTATATTGCCTAGACTAGGGTGGAACTGGTCTCTAGTGATCTTTCTGCCTCTGTCCTGCATAACTAGGACTACAGGCATTTCTGTTTTACCTAGCTTTATCTTCCAGTGTCTTTGCTGTTAGTTTCCTTTTCATTACACACTACAGAACTTTTTCATAAAAACTTTGGCAAGTAGGTTACAAATCTTAAGATAGTATTTAAGGTAGTATTTAAACAACAATTTGTAATTTGTTACAATTTATAACCAGTGTTTTGATACTAAGAATATTAAATTAATACTAAGTAAAAGAATTTTATTATCTATAAATTTTACTTTTCCTTATTCTTTAATCATAAATTATATATAATTATATACAACATGTTTTCTATTATGTAGAACTTGTATAATGGCCAAGTCAAGCCAATTACCTTGATTTACTTTGCATTATTTACTTCAGTGAACTCCTTTACTTTTTTTGTGTTGTTCATAGTGGGGCTTGAACTCAAGGCATAAGCGCTGTCCCTGAGCTGTTTTGCTCAACGCTAGCACTCTAGCACTTGGGGCACAGCTCTACTTCTGGCTTTTTCTGAGTAGGTTATTGCAGATAAGAATCTCATGGATTTTCCTACGTGGGCTGGCTTTTGAACTATGATCCTCAGAGCTCAGCCTCCTGAGTATTTAGGATTACAGGCATGAGCCACCAGTGCCCATCTTTACTTTTTATATTTATACCATGGTATACTGATTTTCTGCAGGATTATTGGTAGAATCAGCTTTATCATTTATTTACTAGGTAGTTTGTGCAAGTGATCTCTGAATTTGTACCGGATCTGTGAAATCATTGAGTTGAGATGCTCTTGATACTCTTGCCTCTGTCTTTTGAATAGCTGAGATTATAGGCATCAAACATTGGTCTTTTTTTTTTTTTTTGGGTCCGGTCGGGGGGCTTGAACTCTGTGTCTGGGCACCATCCCTCAGCTCTTTAGCTCAAGGATAGTGCTCTACAACTTGAGACACAGCGCCACATCCGGCTTCTTTCTTTTTTGCTTATGTGGTGCTGAGGAATCGAACCCAGGGCCTCATGCATGCAAGGCAAGCACTCTACCACTGAGCCACCTTCCCAGCCCCCATTGGTCTATCTTAACCCAAAGGTACTTTTATACAGTGCTTACTTTTCCCTGAAGTGAAAAGTTTCACCCTTATGATTCTAAGAGTAGACTAAGATCTGGAGGATTGTGATTTGAATCCAGCCCAAAGCAAAAAAATAATAATAATTCAATAAAGTCCATCTCCTAAAGCACCCTCAAAAAGCAGGGGTGGAGGCATGGCTTAGGTGATAGAGCACCAGCTGAGCAAGTCGATCAAATAAGTACTGGTCCCTGCCTTTAAACCCAGTATTGCATAAATAAACAAAACACAGATGAAGTGGGGAGATTAATAAATTTTAATAAAGATTTAGAATTTTAATAAAGATTTGAATTGAGGCAGTTAGAAAGTAATTATGCATTTGAAAGTTATTTGGAAAGTACATTTGGTGAAAGAATATCCTCTTAGATGTAAGGTAAGAACAAATAGTATCAGATAGCTATCCTGTATGACTGAATGTTAATAATGTTGATGTCCAAGATAGAAAATCCAAAAGAAAAGAAAGTGAAGATTTTTCTGGAGGGAGATAATGTAATTGATACTAACACTTCAATAAGATAAAGTTTCTGTGTTCTGAAAGTTTCTAGGAAGGTTAAAGAAGTTTTTTTAAAATTTAATATTTGATAAAAAAAACTAGCCAGGTACCCTTTGCTCATAAGTACAATCCTAGCTACTCAGGAGGATGAGATAATGAAGATCTATGTTGGGATTGGCCAGGATAGTACAGTTTGTGAGACTCTTTATCTCTAATCAGTCACCAAAAAGCTGGGTGGAGGCATGGCTTAAGTTATAGGGTGCCAACTTTGAGCAAATAGCCTAGCAACAGAGTAAAAAGGCCCTGAATTCAAACCTCAGGACCAACACACATGCACATACAAACATACCCACAAAACTTGAAAAAAAACCAAACGTAGATGCCTTCTCTTTTCCACCCTTTTGTTTTTTAGTGTTATCAGTATATTCTCAGAAACTTGACAAAAATGTAATCGCAGATAGATGTAGTTTGTAAGTGTGTAGAAAATTTTAAAATACTATATGAATCCAAACAAGTTTGAGATAAAATTTTTGTATACTAAAGTCAAAATGTTTTAAATTCGGGAGTTTGACGAATTTTAGTAGCTATACAGTTGTGTGATCACCACTCATTCAAGTTATAAAGCATCTCTATCGCCCTGTTTCTTCCCTCACACTTTTACAGTCAGTCTCCCCTCATTCTAGGCCCTTAGCAGCCCCTGTTCTGAATTCTTTCACTGTTATTTCACCTTGTTTAGGTTTTCATATTATTGAGATTATATGTTTTATGGTTTTTATTAAGTATAAAAGTTCTTTTAGGGCTGGGAAGGTGGCTTAGAGGTAGAGCACTTGCCTTGCATACCTGAGGCCCTGGGTTCGATTCCTCAGCACCACATAAGCAAAAAGAAAAAGCCGGAAGTGGCGCTGTGGCTCAAGTGGTAGAGCGCTAGCCTTGAGCTAAAGAGCTGAGGGACAGCGCCCAGGCCCAGAGTTCAGGCCCCATAACCGGACCCCCTCTCCCCCCACAAAAAAAGTTCTTTTATATCCTGGATACTCATTATATATTGACTATAATTATAATATATTTATGAGGGCATCCTTTATTACATATTGACTACTTATATTTATGATGACAATATGGAATGATGATATCATGGTAATAACATCCATTACCTCCATTTGTTTTACCTTTTTTTTCTGATAATCACATTTGAAATTTACTCAGCAATTTAAAAATTTAAAAATACTCAGTTACTAGATATATTTACACAAATTCACCACATTGTGCAATAGATTTCCAAGAAAAAGAATCAAATTATTCATTGATGTGAGGCTTTTTGCCTTCAATTAAGATGTCATCTCCCTACCACCTTGTTGCCTCTAGTAACCATCTATCATTTTACTCTGCCTCTGTGAATTCAGTTGTTTTAGATTTTTACATGTTAACAGGAGCAGTGTCTCTCTGTTTACCATACCACACTTAGCATTATGGTCTCCAGTTCCATCCATGTTGGAAAGAACTTCTTGTTAAAAAAATTGAATAGGGGCTAGGAATGTGGCTAGTAGTAGACTGCTTGCCTAGCATGTATGAAGTCCTGGGTTCCATTCCTCTGTATCACATAAACTGAAAAACCAGAGGTGGTGCTATATACAGCTCAAGTGGTAGAGTACTAGTCTTGAGCAAAAGAAGCTCAGGGACAGGCCCTGAGTTCAAGCCTCATGACTGCCCCCCCCCCAAAAAAAAATTGAGTAGTATTTCATATGTATATGGACCACTTTGTTTTATTTATTCATTCATTCATTCATTCATTTATTCATTGATAGACACTTAGGTTGGTTCCGTAACTTAGATGTTGCAAATAGTGTTTCAATGACCATGAGAGGACAAACAAGTCTGACATGCTTTTTTATTTCTGGTTTTGGCTCTTGGAATTGAACCTAGAGTGTTGCATGTTAATAAGCAAGTACTCTACTACAGAACTACACCCAGAGCCCAATGATTTCAAATCTTAAACACAAATAGTAGTAAGATTGCTGGGTTATATGGTAATTCTTGATTTTGTTTTTTAAGGATTCTCCATACTGTTTTCCATAATGGTTGTACTAATTTAATTTACATCCTCACCCACAGTGCACAAGAAAAAGATTGCCTTCACATCTTTGCTAATGTGTTACTTTTCTTCTTTTTTGATAATAGACATTCTGATAGCTGTGAGAAAGCATCTTATTGTAGATATAATTTACTTCAGTGTAGTGGTTGGTGATGTTGAGGTTTTTTTTTTTTAATGAATCTGTTAGTCATTTGTATGTCTGTTGAGAACTGTCTATTCTAATCTCTTGCCCATTTCTGAGTTTGACTTTTTTTCCCCTAGAGTTGAGTTCTTTATGTATTTTGGGTATGAATCCACTATCTTCTATGTGGTGTCTAAATGTTTCTTCCCAGTTCATAGATTATCTCTTTATTCTAAATTGTTTCAAGTATGTATATGCCTTCTTAACAGATATTTA